ATAGAAGTTCTCAAGTGATATAGTACATAGTAGTCTCTTGACCTGAGGCATGAGTGCAATATCTTATATGTCAGTAAAGATGTATTTAGACTTTTACCTAACCACAGTTCTTATTGAATTGTGCATAAACGGTTCTTTGTTGGGTACATCCCGAGACATAAGTAGATATTGAGATGCAAGAAGGGATTCGTCTCTCCCAGTATAGGTGTTGATGTCATAAGATTGTTTTGATATACCTATAGCCTGGAAATCCTTGGCCAAGGTGAATAAGATAAACTGAGTGTCAGTTTGATCTTATAGGTTATGAGTTTAATATCAAGTAAACACTAATCAAGCTATTAGGGTTTGACAGTTTGCCACATACCCTAGGCTCAATAGTTTGACATGGTTTGACGAAGAGACCGACTGTACGGTATTATCATTGCAGTGTCCTGATAAATTGGATAAGCATCTTGGGACCTTTATCAGCAACTTATACCCGGGTGGTCTTCATGTGTAGCTAGAGCACACTCCTGTTGTACTTATGGATATGATCACTACGAGTTTTTTAAGTTGGGCCCCTAGAGTCACACCAGGCGCGTACTTGAATCCTATGAAACACAATTTATGGAGTGATGCGTATGATTGATACACATATATGATTTCTTCCGGATACACATAAACGCGTTATGTATATCGGTAAAATCGAATGCTATGTGCTTAGGAAATGAATCCAGTATTTTTCTCATAAAGTTAACTTTTAGTCAACTAGTTGACTTTTTGGTCAACAGTTGACTTTTGGTCAACTCTTGATTTATTTGGTCATATAGTGACTAATTAGGTTAAAGATTGGAATAATACTATATATCATATTTATGAAATACTATATTAGTGATAATAATTTGGTATTCTCATTTATGAAATACACATACCATGTATAATGAGTCATGAGATGAGTCACTTAGTGGTATGGTTTGAGCACATGGTTTATAAGCACATGGTTTTGAAATGTAATGATTCATAAGATGATTCATTGCATGACTCACATGATTAATCATTAATTTTTGATGATTCATTGCATGACTCATAGGATGAGTCATTCATATCATGAACACATTTCACTCTATATAAATATGAGCTTTTTTTCTTATGGAAAGGTTAATGAAAAATTGGCTAAGTGTTTTTTCCATAAGAGAATAAAAGAGAGCTCTCCTCTTACTAATCTTTAGCAATCTTTGAGCAAGAGGAAGTATAGGATTTTAAGAACCGCCGGGGTGGATATCTTGCCTTGTGTCTTAAGAAGACTCCCATTTTATTCAAGCTCACTTGAAGACTTGGAGATCCACTACAAGGAGATTTTCTACTACAAGGAGCAAGAGCTAGGGGTTATTCGATCTTCCATCGAATCACGCTACGAAAGTATGACTTTCTAACTCTTGTATGCTCTCTTAATAATAAGGATCATGTTAGATTTAATTAGAACCGATAAGAAACTACTTAATCAAAATATTTATATGGCCAACATATTAATTTGAATATATATCTTGATCATGTATCTCTTCATCGAAAGAAATTCTTCATGTCTATTGTTTATCTAATGTTGATGTATGAATCACACAATCAAATGGAAAGGGTTGATTGTGTTGACGGAGGTCCTCAAACTCTCCAAATGTCTGGTCTTTGGGCAAGCTATACTTCCGGTGCACAAGTAACAGATTGTAAGGAGGGTGGATTGTGATTCCTCGGTTGTTCCTCCGACGATGAAGTTAGTATGTGACTTGTGTGGAGAAGTAAAACAAACTGTAACAGTTCTTAAGTTCAAAAAATGGTGGAAAAAGCTTATTTTTGTAATGGAAAATAGTATCTCCTTTTATAGTAGTTTCGCGCAGGGGGGGGGTTAGGATGGAACCTTTGGCCGTGCATTGGGCCCGGTGGCCCGAGTTTCGAGCTCAGCTTTACAGTGCGGCCGAGGAGTGGAGAAGAGGTGCATTCGCGTTTAATGGCAAAGTGAGGTGGGGTGTGCCGCGTTGTCGACTGTCGGGAGTGTGTATAAATACCTATTGCGAGGCAGAAGAAATGATTTGGCGCCCATGGTTCATTTAAGATGACATTTTATAGGTAAAAAATTCTACTAGTTCTTATGGTTCGGACGAAGTACCGCCTTCTCATGTCGCCCTCGCATACGGTGTCCGGCCAACTGAGTGCGAGTGGAGTGTTTAAGTAGTGACTCAGCCCGGGGGAGCGACACGTAACGCCTTTCGGGCTCGTCGGCAGTGATGACCCTTCGAGTCGTCGGCACTATGAACGCATTTCGACGTCGTCCCTCACAAGGAATATCAACGTGCCAAGTCGATCAGGCCTAGGCTCCTGATGTCACTTGAGATGCCAACCCGATTATGCATAACTGTTGAGACACTTGGTCTGTTATCGATTAGAGATTATTTTTCGATCGACTAAACATGGACGTAAATATTTTGATTAAGTAGTTTCTTATAAGCAAACATGAAATTTTTATGGGTTCAATGATAATTTTGACAGATCCACTGTTGAAGAGTTTGTTAATCAACTTTGCTATGGGTTTAGCACTAATATTTTGATTAAGTTTCCTTTGCTTAGAAGAATTGGAATTTTTCGCCTTTGGAATAGTTCAAAGCACGAGGTCAATGTTGAGCAGAAATGAGCTGTGGTTGACTTGCAGGAAGCTTTTAGCCTTTTAATTGGTCTACAAGGCATCTTTCAGGGCTGCCCCTTATCGAGAGCATAATCAAAATTTACCAAGTTTGTTTAAGACACATTGTGAAGTATCACTCTCTTGCACCCCGCACCCCACCCCACCCCGCGGGGTATATTCTCTCAATGCTCTCCTTTGGTCGGAGAATTAGGTATTCTAATGGGAGTATTTGCTGCTAAGTAAAAAATTAATTAGTGTCTATTCGCTAAAGCTATTTGGCCAATAAGTAGGGGGTGCAAACGGATAAAGGTACGGATAGGGATATGTACGGTAAAGAAAACTTATATTCATATCTACTAAAAGTCGGATACGGATATACATGTCGATACAAAACGGATATGAGAAAGCGAAACATTATCGAAAGAATATAGTTCGTAAGATACAAGAAAGTTATTAACATGTTTGTTATATTTGAAAAGCTGATATTAGATCTCTTAGTCATCAAAATTAGTCTCAAATTCATTAATTTAAGAATTGAAACAATTAAGGCTCTACTATCATATATATTCGGATATTCAGTGCAGAACCTAAATATTTGCGATATACGCAGACCCTAATATTGGGACAAACAAAATTAATCGTAAGTGTACAACTTTAGGGACGGATGTTGACCTATCTTTAGAAGCAAAATACGTTTGGAAATTGAAACTTTCATAAGTACAAGATCGTGATTTCCCATTTGAGAGGAAGAAACTGACAAGCATACATTTTTTCTCCCCCATACCCCCGCGCCCCCCCCCCACACTATATTCTTATAGAGTGGCACAATCAGATTACCACTCTGCACACTAGGCCACTTAGAAAATGCTACAAGCGCACGTCGTAACGCACTTTGTGATAAATAAGTACATAATATAGAACTAGAAAGAAAAAAAAAGTGTGCGTAGTATAGAAACTGTAAGGTTCGAACTAAGGATGCAGACGATTCAGATATAGGTTCGAATATGATGCATATCACACCCGGGTACGAATATGAATATAGATATGTCTTGATAAGAAAATTTATCCATATTAGCCGAATTCGGATACAAATATGGATATATGTGCGGATACAAACCGGATATGATAAAGACAAAAAAAATATTGAAAAACAATACGATTTGTCTGGTAGAAGAGTGTTCATTAATATGTTTGTTATATCTGAAAGGCTAGGATTAGATCTCTTGGTCATCAAACTTAACCTCAAATATTCTATTAATCTATAGATAAAAACAATTGCAGTTGTATGACCAACATATATTTAGATATTGAGCGTGTCTGACAATTTTCTAAAAATTGAACTAGTTTCAATCCTAGCATAGTTCAATTCTAAACAAGTTTAGAGTTGGATTAAGTTGGCGATGGACCAACACGAAACTAGTTTTATGGTTTCTTTTTGGCCTTAGAAGAACTAGGCAAAAAATGTTCTACTTTTTACCAATAAAAAATAATTTCAAAACTGGGCCAGATTTTTAAGAGTTTGCTAAAAAGCCAATCAATCAAAAACTGGATTAGAAACAGTCCTAGCCCAGTTTCATCCTAAACTGTTTTTTGTTTGGACCAGAGGAGGAGTTGTCCAAACTGAAACCAGTTTATTGGGCATTTTTTGCTTAGAAAAACTGAGCCAACTTTAGGGTAATTTTTGTCAAACAAAAAGGTATCCCAAACTAGACCAGGTTTAGTCCTGACCCAGTTTTAGAGGGTTGTCAAACATACACTTTTAAGTGTTTGGCACTTCTTTAAAACTAGGCCAGGATAAGTCCTGGGACCCAATTTTGATTCATTTTATGTTTGTCTGAAATAGGACCGGACTTGGCCCATTTCTTTTTAAGTTAAATTTCAGGTTTAAATTAGGTTCTTTTTCAAACCACCCCCATGAACCAAACACAATCTAGTTTAGGATAAAATCAGGTCACGATTAATCCTAATCCAGTTTTAAGCATTTTGCTAAACTGACCCTTGGATTGGGATGAAGAAATTTTACTATATATCCATATTCATAATTATGTATACTATAATATATAGATTTTCTAGCGACTATATTCATATACAGGTACTGGAATATCCGCGGATATGGATATCTCTTTGCAACCCATCAAACGTTGTTAACTTTTGATTATTGAATTTCATAATTAATAAGTCTAAGAAGCGCCTTTAACTTTTAAATTAATGTTTTAATATAATGGAAATTTAGAAAATGTTTCTCAAAAGTGATCATTTTTTTTTAATCCTAAAAAAAAAAATGAATCCCTCTCTGTTTTTTTGTTTCTTGGCCCTCTTCATCGCCTCGGCCCTTATAATAACACCGCTTCTCGTGCTGAAGACGGCGGTTTCCTCACTAGCTGCTGAACCGCTAAAAAGCATCAAAAATCAACACGCTGCCGTCATTATCCCAAGATTTAATCATGATTAACCCCAAAGCAAATCGACCCCATTTCATCATTAAGCCCTCCACCGCTCTCAAGAAGAAGAACAGCAGACGGCTCGTCTCTTGGGGGGTCCTTCTATCGGCAACAGAACGCTAGTGAGTTCTTGGTATTTGGGTTTTTGCTCATCTTTATCTGGTACTTGATTCATTTCATTTTCACCCTTTTTTATTGATAATATATATTTTTATGTGTCATTTGAGAGTAAAGGAGACTACCCTTTTGATTATTTTCCCCTCTTTCGAAGTTTGGTAGTTGCAGTGGGAATGTAGGGAGTAAGTCTATATCACCAAACTCTTATTATTGAAGTAAAAGTGAAGGGAATTGGTTCTCTTCATTCCAAGTATTGACTTGTTTTTGGACTTAAAGCTGCGGGTAGATGTCTTTAATAATTTGCTTAGTGAATTAGTTATTTGGAAGTTGAACAGTATGTGCTCAATTTGCGAGATACAAGAACCCTTTTGAAGAAACCATGTTTATGTGGTCTGTCTCATTCTTTTCGTGTTGCGAGATTGGATTGTGGGGATGTCTAATACCAGGTATGATTTTCTAGCGTGGGCTCAATTTAGTTTAAAGCTACTTGTAGAATTAAATGCCGTTTTGTTTATAATTTATGTCAATCAAGGATGAAGTAATTTTTGGTAATGAGTGTGCAAGGGAGAGTCCCTTCTACTCTTTTTTTCGCTTGCTGTTTAACTTTTGATTGTTAATTAATTCCTTCAATGGTATGCTTTCTTGTTATATAGTTCTTAGCATATCCGTGGTCTTATATGTTTTGGTTTGGAAATTGGTAATTTTCTCCTCTTCTGGTTAGGCTCCGTTAATGGTGCGACTTCTATTGGGGATTCGTATAACATCTTGTTTGTAATCTCATGACATTTTATTCTTTTACTCTTTGTTCTTCTCGCTTCCTGATATTTTCTCTTATCTGTACCTCAATTATTCATTGAAATTATTCTATTAAGGACAGCCTCTTATCCTCTCTCGAGAAATACCAGTTCTTGTTGGTTCTGCAAAAAACATGTAGTAAATGGTGATTTCAAGATTATTGTTCTATGATTCCTTCTGGAGATCATAGAGAATGGCTTGGTGAACTCACGATACTGCTTAAGTGATGTTACCCCCCTTTTCTACTGTTTTATGCCCACTTCAATGCCAGATATGATACTCTATTTTTTGGCATTAATAGACTTATAGCTTTGCACTTTGCCGTTCAACTTTGTAATATTTTAACACCAAGGCCTCATAATGTTATGACTGGTGTTTTGCACGTTTGTAAGTGTAATTATGCAACTGAACTATGAACTTGTACCATCATCTGATACCTAAGAAATAGTCCATGAACCTATCTTTTTTAGTTTAAAATTTTCTAAGCTCTATATATGTCGCATATTTACCAGCATTTTCCATAAATACACTGTACTCAATGCAAGTTTCCAAATAGTTCTCTCTTTCGTGCAGTTGGTCATCAGAAAGTATAAGAGGACATCTACCACCAGTCCTATATGAAATCATCTAAAGAAGAAAAATTGGCTTGAACCCAAAATGGCCACGACTTTGACTCAGCCAGCAAGGAGATTTACTGATAGAAGCCCTAAATCCATGAACCAGTCATCATCAGCAAGAAGGAATACTGATAAAGTTCCTAAAGTCGTGCATCATCAACCCCCAAAAAGCCTAGTGCCTAAGGTACTTGATAATATTCTTGGAAGAATTACCAACTTGATATACAAATTAAAAAATTGTTTCCATCTTTTTTCCTTTTCTTTCTAATTTTGCCATCTCCTTTACATGAACTGTAACCCTATCGGATAATTTATCCATTAAAAATTTAGATTATCGGTATATTGGATTTTCTTTTTTTGGCTTGTTGATCAAGTGTAAAAATCTTTGAATTTCTGGACACTTCATTATATTAATATACCTCACTACCATAAATTATTGCCACTATATTAATACCATCGCCTTCTTTATTAATACCTCACTACTACCTCCATTATTCTGTATATAATTGCTACTGGCAATCACCTCAATTTTGGAAAATCAAGCTTTGAATGTTTTGTTTCGACAAGTTATATGTAACAAGCTTGATTCTTGAAAATGCTTCAAATTATTATATCAAACAGTTAGAAGCAAAATTCTAAAGAATTGGATGCCTAAAATTTTTAGTCTGGAGGTATAACTATCACTCTGTAATCTAGTTGTTAGAAACACTTGAAAAGAATCATTTGTTTGTAGGAGTGCTGGGAAGACGTTTTTTTTTTCGCAACACTTATAAAAAATTTTTGAATTTATTTTTTGAAATGTGACTTCTAAACGTTAATAAATTGAAATAGTATGTTTAATATTTTTATTTTGCATGGTTTACAAATCATCTGATAAAATGTCTAAATGGTCTGACATATCGAGTAAATATCTTAGTTTACATAGGAACTCAGAGAAACTGTTTTAAGTGAACTTCTTTTTAGACAACCTAGTTGAAAGTAAATTTGGATCTGAAGTATTTGTCTCTAAATGTTTACTAACCCTGGTTGGTATTCAACAAAAAGTTTGTTATGTGCCCATAAAAGTTATGCTTTGATCTAGTGCTATAGGTCTAATATGTAGTTTCTTTCCTGAATATCTCATATTACGATTTGTTTTCTACTCAAAGAATGTTACTTGATGAAGAATCCAGGGCATGCTAGTGAGCTAGAGACCCAAGTCACTCTACTTCAAGAGGATTTGACAAGAACTAAGGAACAACTTGCTTTAACCGAGACCCAAAAGAGACGAGCACAGCAAGAACTCGAAGAGGCTAAAAATCAGCTCTCTATATTATCTTCAAAATACAAAGATTTGCATTGGAAGAACATCGATCTTTCTGCATCAGAAGATGATCGGATCAAAGAACTCCGTGAACTTTCTAAGGAGAGAGATCGAGCATGGCAATCTGAGCTTGATGCCCTAAAGAACCAGCATGCTCTTGATTTGGCAGCTCTCAGCTTTGCTTCAAAGGAGATCCAAAGGCTTAGGATGCACCTTTCAAAAGTCATTGAGTCTGAGTCTGTTTATGCCGATGAATCTGAAACTGCAAATTCTGAGCTTGTGGAATTGAAGCAAGAAATGGGTAGAACAATTTCTACTGTTGAAGAACTTAAGACTTCAAGTTGAAAGAGTGTGAAGAGCCACCAGCAAAGGATGAAGCGGCTGATGAGACTCAGCATCAGCTAGAAATTGCAAAGAGTACAGTAGACACTCTCCTTTCAGATGGGTCCGCGCTAATGGAATCCTTTAACTCCGTAGTTTCTGAGCTAGAGAAGTCCAGAGCTCAAGAAAATATACTCGAAGAAACTATAAAAAAGTTACAGGAAGAACTTGCTTTAGAACTTGAAAGTACCCATGTAAAGTACCAGGAGGAAGAAATTAGAAACATGGTTCTGATCCTGTCTGCTTATGAACTGGAAGAAAATTTAAGAAATAAATCTATTTCACAAGAAGCTAACTTGCAATCAGCATTGAAAGATACACAGGCTGAAATTACTGCACTGAAGGCAAAACTATCAGAAAAGGATGCTCATAGTCGAAGTGTATCAGAAATGAACGAGAGGCTACAGTCAGAGATAAAAGAAAGAGTCGGTGAGATAAAATCCAGCTTGGGCTCAAAGCTTATGGATAAAGAGACAGAACTACAGGGAATTATGCATGAGAATAAGCTGCTGAAGTTGAAAATAAAAGAACGAGAGGAGAGGGATAAGAATTCTGAAGTTCTAATAACGGAACTAGACTTGGTGAGAGTCAAGGAGCAGGAAGCAACAATGAAGTTTGAGATTGCTAAAGAGGAGTTAGAAATGAATAGTCGAATGGCTGAAACGTTAGGTATTCAGCTGGATGAAGCTCTTGCAGTAAAAGAGGAGACAGAATCTGAGTTGAAGAGGCTGAGAGTGCAGTCAGAACAGTGGAGAAAGGCAGCTGAGACTGCAATGGCTGTTCTTAGAACTGGAAAGGAAGGAGATTTTCTTGAGAAATTGATGAGCTCTCCATTTTCAGATAATTTGGATGATGAATCCGTAAAGACGAGGAATCACAATGTGCTGAGGTGGATGGGTGAATTGTGGAAGAAGGGGCAAAAATAGCCAAGATCATCTTTTTTATTGCTGTTGTTCTTCAAACTCCAGAGGTAATTTTCTTCGGTAGAGGAAACAGAGAGTTCAGTTCAGTTATAGACAGGTGATAGTTATTTGTGTACATTGCTGCTTTATATGCTTTTGAAATCATTGTTGTTTCTCTCGTAAACCTGTTGATTCTCTATTTGAATTTGTTGTTCCGTTTATCAAGTTGTCCGTTCTCTATACGCTGCTGGAATCATTGTTAAACATTAGTTCTAGGTTGCTTAATTTCTCCCTCTTAGGGGTTTAGAGATTAGGACAAATATGTTCTATTTAAAGTCGTAAAGAATACTTTCATAAGTACTGGAGCATCAATAGTTGCCAGAATATAAGCTAATTTAGGTAATGTTGTTTAG